TTAAGTTGAAATGTGGTAGGAATCAGTAACCCTTCAACTTCCAAGTCTTTAATGGTAGCATCATTTTTGCAATTCCTCCAAGAATGCAGCATTGATTTTGGTAGTGCTTAGAGAGGGAGCACTCCAGAGGCTTCCACTTGGCACTTGCCCCCGGAAAGGCTCTTACTCTATGACTCTGAGAAACAATGTGAAGATTATGATAGCTGCAGAGTATATTTATTCCAACTGCATATTCAGAAAGTATGGGAGTAGCCATAGGGTGAGTTAAGAATTCTGCCAGGCCTACCAAATTTCCCTTTATCGCCTAAACATCCTACCTAAGTCCCCATTCTAACTAGTGGACTAGTGGGACACAGTGGTATTCAGAGATTATTAGCTTAGAGCCAGCATCAACAACCCCTGAAAGACACGGGCACTTCTCTTTCCCGAGTGCACAACTGCCCTAGGAAATGGCATGCACTCATTCTAACACTGCCTCCTGTCTGTTGAGGCTGTTCCTGACTTGCTCAAAAACCCTTTTCAGTGGTTCCTGCAACTGGATTCACCTGGAGTGATTTTTTTTAATAGAAATCAATTACGTTGATATTAGATTACTACAAATATCACAATATGTTTTTTAAAAAATACTTTTTATTCTTTTCATTGATTTTTAGAGAGAGGGGGAGAGAGAGAGAGAAACAGTGATGTGAGAATGAAACATTGACTCCTGCATGACCCCTACCAGGTATAGAGCCTGAAACCTGGGCATGTGCCCTGACCAGGAATCGAACCAGCAACCTTTCAGTGCACGGGACAACACCCAACCAACTGAGCCACACAGGTCAGGGCCGGAGTGATTTATTTTTTAAATACCAATATTCTGGCCACATCACACAGAGAGAGTCACCTTGCAGGGAAAAAACAATTCTTCTACCCCCACAACACTTCATTGTCTCCAAATCTATAATCAGACTCAAATCTCAGCATGTCCCAGGGGCCAATTATAAAGTCAACACACACAGCAGGTCTGAGCCAGAGAGATGATGACCAGGAAAGTCAGCTTGAGAGGACTGGACAAAAGCTGACTGCTGGCCTGGCTGGTGTGGCTCAGTGGTTGAGCGCTGACCCATGAACCAGGGGCTCACTGGTTTGATTCCCAATCAGGGGACATGCCCAGGTTTCGGGCTCAATTCCCAGTAGGGGGCGTGCAGAAGGCAGCCGATCAATGTTTCTCTCATCGATGTTTCTCTCTCTCTATCCCTCTCCCTTCCTCTCCCTAAAATCAATTTTTAAAAAATTAAAAAAAAAAAAAGCTGAACTCTGGCCTCTAGGAGCCCTTCTGGTTGGAAGGAGCAGCCAGGGCCGCTGGAGGATGTGCTCTGTGGACTGGGGGGCATCCAACCTTTAGCTGTCCCCAGGCTCCTCACTGCCCTCCCCCAGCACATGCACCTCAGAAAGGGTGCTCAGTGAAAGCCTGAGAAATGCCCCTGTGAGGGTATTATCATAAGCAGCAATTCTCAGACCTGGCTACACCTTAGAATCACCTGGGGAGCTTTAAAAACCATCCTGATGCCCTAGCCGGTTTGTCCAGTGGTTAGAGAGTTGGCCCGTGGACTGAAGGGTCTCAGGTTCAAGGGCACGTACATGTACCTCGGTTGCAGACTCGATTCCCCGGCCCTGGTTGGGGCACATGTGGGAGGCAACCAACTGATGAGTGTCTCTCACATCGATGTTTCTCTCTCTCTCTCTCTCTCCCTTCCACTCTCTCTGAAAAGCAATCAGAAAAAGTATCCTCAGGTGACAATGCAAAACAAACAAACAAAACTATCCTGATGACCTAGGTGACCTAGGCTCACTTCCACAGATACTGATGCCATTGGTGTGGGATTGGGTGGGACTGGGGGAGGGACCAGCTTATTGCTTTTTTTGCTTTTTTTAAAAAAAATCACTGGTAGTGTTTCCAGCTTCCGACATCACTGGACTAGGGGCCTAGATCAGGCAGTGGTTCTCGACCTTGGCGGCACACTGAAAACACCTGGGAAGCTGTAAAGAAAATACCAGTGAATCGCCAACCTAAAGATTCTGACTTCATTATTTATTTGGCCTGCCTGGGTCTGCCTGGGTATTCATGGATTTTCCCAGCTGATTCTAATGTGCAGAACCATTAGGATGAGACTGAAAACTGTCAGGATAAGAGAAAGAATAAAAGATAAAATGAGGAAATGGAAGAAGGCACGAATGAATCTATAGTTCTGAATTACTCCAGACTCATAGCTGCCCTGTGAGCAGTGTGTGCGCGCGTGAGTGTGGTTGTGGGGCGGGGAGGGGATTGCCCACATCATTTCAGCGTCGCGATACTGAGGCCCACAGAACACAGAGCAGGGACTTCATGTGTTCTGGAGGGTCCACTCTGTCCTAGCAGTGGCCTGAATGCTTTAAATGTATTTCCTCGTCAAATCCTCACAATAACCCTGAGAGGACAGATATTGTTAGACACTTTTTTACAGAATTGGAGTCATGGCTCCCAGAGGTCAAATGACTTGCCTGCAGTCACGTAGTGAGTCAGTGGCAGAAACTAGACGAGACCCAGGTGTCCTCAAGCCAATGCCATTCCTAACTGCCGTTGAAATGACTGGCTCCATCTGCCCCTGGGGCTGTCTCGGCCTGATCACCACTCATCCCAGGGCCTGTCTGGCGTCTAACTGTAGCTTAGCTAATAGTCATCTCCTGGGATGTGGGGCAGTGCCATCCAGGCCCAGAGATGCAGGAGTGAGAAAGACCACAAAGGGAAAGGTCCCCGTGACCCAACCAGTGGAGGCCTTGGTCCCAAAGAGCTTGTCAGGACATTAGCTCTAAGAGCAGAGGAATATTGGCTGGACAGGAGCCAAAGCATCTCTTCTGCTGGACAAAGGGAGCCAACACTAGGAGCCCAGAGGCCAGGCTGAAGATGGGCCAGGAGATGGGGCGAGCATAGGCATTCCCACATTGTGTTCACAGAATCGAATTATTTTGTTAAATAAGAGCAGATGACCACCGGGAATCAGGTGATTCCCCCACCCCACCCTTGGCAAAAAGAAAGGGTGACAACCTATGCCAATGTCTCCACTTGGTGATTTGTTTGTTATTGGTCCAAAGAATCAGAAAATCTGGAAACCAAAGGCTTCCCTGGCCCTTGGGGATGGAAAGCAGCTTGTGGCGGGCTGTGGGGGGAAATGGGAAGCAAGGAAATGGAGGTGATGTTTTGCAGATCAGGGCCACTCAAAATGTGTTTCCAGGACTGGTGGCAGCAGCATCACCTGGCAGTTAGGAAAGCAAATTCCTGGCCCCTGCCCCAAACCTACAAAGTCAGACTCTCTGAGAAAGAAGCCCAGCAACCCGATTTAACAAGCTCTCTAGGTGATCCCGATGCACACCCAAGTCAGAAAACCAACTCTGCCTGCTTCAGAAGAGGCCTAGAGAAGGGGATGTGGCTCGAGAGCCAAGTGGGATTAGAGGGTGATTTTTATCGTTGTTGTTTTAGTTTAGAAAATACTCAGCTTTTTTTAAAAAAGCTTCTTATCGAAATACAGCACACCTCCAGAGAAGTGCACGTGTCATAAACGTACAGCTGGCTGCATTTTCACAATCGGCACTCGTGTAACCAGCATTGGGTTAAGAAACAGAACATCACCAGCAGCCCTCTCGTGCCTTCTCTTCTCACCATCTGACTTCTAATGGCAGAAACTCGTTTTACCTGTTCTTGTACCTTATGGAAGTAAAAAAAAAAATGTGCTTTTTGGTATTTGGCTTTTTTCACGCATTGGTGTGTCATAAAGTCATCTGTGTCATGGCATGCAGTGGCCGATCCCTCATTCTCACGGCCGCAGAGCACTGTGATTACGCCACTCCCTCTGCTGAGAATGGGGGTGACTGTTCCAGTTTGGGACTGTTCCAATTAGTGCTGCTACGAACATTCTAGGACAGGTCTGCTGGGTACATTCCTAGGAGAGGAATTTCTGAGGACTCGACCCTGTTTAAATGCTGTTGAGAAGGAACCAGTAGAGAAGACATGAAGCCACAGGAGAGAAGGGGGTCAAAGAGAGAGAGAGGTCGCTGGGGAAGTAGGAGGCAAGAGGTGTGAGGGGCTGGGCCAGAACCAGGGGGAGGAGGCGGCAGTGTGGAGGGTGGGTTTGTAGTTGGGGGTCGGTAAGCGGGGGCTCCTTGCATCAGCCTTGATTTGCCCATGTGTGAAGTAGGAAGCTAGATGGTGGACTGAAGGGTGGAGTGGGAGGGTTTGGGGTTTGAGGCAGGGGAGAGGGAGGATTGGGGTGGTCACGGCAGAATGGTCAGCAGAGAGAAGGCTAGAGAAGGAATGAGACTGGAGCCCATAACTTGTCCTGCAGCACTCTGGGATTCTGGGATCTTGCCACAGAACAGGTCCTTGATGTGAATTCCAGTGAAGGAATTTGGAAACGTGTTTTCCAGGCTGTGGCTCCCTAAGAGGTCTGTAGCGCCAGCTGCTGGTCAAGAGCCACATGACTGTGCCTTTACCTCCAGCTGTTCCGCAGATAGAGAAACCCAGATCTGGGGAGGGACCTCAGGCTGAACCTTGACCCCAACCAGAGACCAGACACCTCCACATAGAACCTAGTCACATTCTGGCCTCAATCCAAGTAACTATAGTCCCAATTCAAGCTCCACTGTCCCTGAATTAGGCCTGGGGTTCTGGGGCTGCATCCCCTGAACAGGGAGCCAGCAAGCATTCTGGACATTAGGGCCTATGGCTGTGGCTCCTCCTACCTCCCTGAGCTGCATCCCCTGACAGAGTCCCTTGCCATGAGAGCCCCCAGAGCCCTGTGCCCTAATGGGACAGGCTCACGCGCAGCCTCCCTGGTCCAAGACCTGCCCAGACCTGTTCTAGATTCCACACCACCCTTCCTCAAGGCTGCCTCCACCTCCCATCTGCCTGACACGGGCAGGGCCTCCTGAGACTCGGCTGGGAAGGCTGGCAAGCAGGTGAGCTGGGGCGGCTCCGAGGGGCCATGGAAGCCACAGCAGAGCCAGTGCTCTACCAGAAGCTGCTGCTCTGGGAGCAGAGCTGGGAGTCTGAGGAAGAAGAGATATCAGAGCTACTCATTCCTGAGCCCTGGAAGCCCCAGGACTCCTCTGGGTGAGTCAGGGAGAGGTGGGGCACATGGCAACTCAGGACTGAGGCTGGTTAAGTCCCTCTCTCTGGGGCCCCTGGCGGGGCCAGACAACCCGGTGCTTAGCTCACCTGGGAACTTTCTAGTTAAATAGGAGGAATCCAGGTTGCAGCCCAATCAATTGACCTGAACCAGTCAATTCACGGCCTGTGGGTCTGAAGGGGCATTTATACCAAGCCAGCCCTGCCAGCTGCTCTGTCAAAGGTTCCCAAGCCCCACTCCCACCCCCTGGTGCAGGAGGCACCTGCTGAGCAGGTTGGGGCCTGGCTACAGCTGGCTGGGCCCTGCTCCGCCCGCCTGCCAAGCCCCTGTCAGATTTCCTCCCAACTGGCTTAACCCTGCCTCTCTAACCTTCTCTCCTGAGACTCCTTCCCTAGCTGTCCTCAGTCTCCCCAACCTTCACGTTTCCATCCACACTGCGTTATCTGCCAGGAAGCCCTTCTCCTTGGCAAATTTATATCCTCTTGCAAGCAAGGTCAACCTTTTGGGAAATATTCCCTGGGTTTTCTTGGGGCCCTTAGGTGTCCCCCTGCCTTGGCCCTGGCTCAAGACAACCTCTCTGCAGGAAAGAAGTTGGTGCTCGGCCCGGAGTCCGGGCCCAACTAGTCGCCGCCCTGCTGCTGTTAGCTGTTGGCTTCTCCCTGGCCATGTGGCAACTCCACACCAGAGGTAGCTCCGCAGAAACCTTGGGCTCTGTGACTCCTCCACCCAGTGGGCACTCCCACCGCCCAGGCGTATACCACCATGGTGCCATCATCAGCCCTGCAGGTCAGTGATGAGAGCAGCTCGGGAGAGGGGAAGGGCCAGGGTCACTGGTCCCAGGCCCCTCCTCATGACTGTCCCTTCCTTGCTGCAGCCTCGTGCTCCCACCTGGGCCAAGAGCTGCTTGTTGCCGGGGGCAATGTTGTGGACGCCGGAGTTGGAGCAGCTTTGTGTCTGGCAGTAGTGCACCCTCATGCTACAGGGCTAGGTCAGTGACCCACAACCCCTGACAGTGACCCCAACCTTAGGCCTAATCGGTCACCTGGAATCCAGGCAGTCAGTGGCCCTGACCTCAAAGCTGGGTAGTGAGCAGGACCTAGGACTTGGCCAGTAGCCCCAATCCTAGGCTGTGACCCTTAATTCTATGTGCTCTTGACCCCAGATGGGTCTCCAGACCCAGTCGGTAACTCCTGACCCCAGGTTAAGTCAGTGTCCTTCACCTGGGGCTACTGAGTGGCCTTAACCCCGTGTGACTCCTTTGTTTCCCCCAGGTGCCATGTTTTGGGGCCTTTTCCACAATAGCTCCTCAGGCAATTCAACTGCCCTGACGTCAGGCCCAGCCCAGGCCCTGGTCCCCGGCCTGGGGCTGCCCTCAGCTCTGCCTACCCTGCACTTGCTGCACGCACGCTTCGGCTACCTGCCCTGGCTACGGCTGCTGGAGGGCCCCACCACACTGGCTCAAGAGGGTTTCCTAGTGGACACACCCTTGGCCAGGGCTCTGGCAGCCCAGGGCACAAAGGGCCTCTGTCCACTACTTTGCCACACTGATGGGACCCCCCTGGGCCCTGGGGACAAAGCCACCAACCCAAAACTGGCTGCCGTGCTACATAGGGCAGCACTTGCCCCCACCCCAGACTTTGCTGGGGATGCCCTGCTGAGTCTGCTGGCCAGAGACCTGGGGCTGGAGGGACCCTCAGCTGAGCCTACGCCCACCTTGGAGCCAGCACTGCAGCTACCTTTGGCCCAGGGCACGCTGTTTACCACTCCGAGCCCCTCAGCTGGCCCAGAACTGCTGGCGCTGCTGGAGGCAGCCCTACAGTCTAGAGTTCCCAGCCCTGATCCCTGCCTACCACCTCTACAAGCTACTGAGAGCCCCGCGAGCAGTGTCCTGGCCACCGTGGATAGCAGCGGCTCTGTGCTCCTTCTCATCTCCTCACTCAACAGCTCCTTCGGCTCTCGACACCTGTCCCCAAGCACTGGGGTTCTACTTAGCAACCTAGTGGCCAAGTCAGAAATTAATACCTGGGCCTGCCCTCTCATCTTTCGTGGCAGCCCAGATGGCACAGAGGCCGATGTGTTGGGGCTGGTGGCTTCAGGGAATCCTGCAGTAGCCAGAGTCACAAGTCATGTCCTGCTCAGCCACCTGGCTGGGCCCCAAACCCAGGCCCAGCACCAGCACCAGCACCTGCACCAGCAAGGACCGACAGAGAGCCCCAGTGTTTGTGGCCAAGGGACTGTGCTCCAGGTGGCAGCCCATGCAGAGCATGCCCATGTCTCCAGTGTACCCCATGGCTGCTGCCCCTTCCAGGGGTTCTAAGGGGGCAGGAACAGAGCAGGCCCAGCGGCGATGTAGTGCACAAAGAGTGTGCATCGATTATGTGCTCACCTCTGGCTCAGGCCCTCAGACTCTGGCCTGGTCAGTTACCGGGACTGGCTCTTGTCAGCTAAGGAAACTGAGGATAACAAGAAAAGAGCACCAGGGCCTGGGGCCAACCCTGAGTTTGGATCCAGCTCCGGGAAGGAAAGATGGAAGAATGCCAAGCCCCTGCCTAGGCTCTGGGCCCCATGGGCAGGGCAGGCAGAGCCTGGGGTACTGCTGGCATCTCTGTCCTCCCCCTCAGGCCACCTTCTGCTGATCTCCCTCAATAAGGCTGGGAACAAAATAAAGATCAAGTCCCACAGATGCCATGTGCCATTCCTGCTTCTTGGTTAATTTCCCGTAAGTCTTTGTGGCGCCTGTTGTCAGGGCTTCCTGGATGGGCAGTACAGGAGACCCCTACCCAGACAGGCAGAGCCTGGGCTGATGTCTTTCAGCTCCCTCCTGCTCTGCTCACCTTCTGTCTCCTAGGGCACCCTATATACAAGGTCAACCCCTTAATCGCACTTCCTAAAACAGACAGCAGAGCAAGAAAGAGGTTGAGAGGTCGAGAGGGTGAGTAGCAGGTTCCCCCAGGGGTCTGGGTACAAAAAAGCTGGGTGTATGAAATTTAAAAGCCAGATTTGGCCCTGACCACCCCAACCTCCCTCAGGGCTGGGGTCTCTCTGTCTCTACACCCTCCAGAAACAGCTTCTCAAATCAACAAACAGGGGTGCCCATAGCACCTCCACACATACACACTGTAAAAAGGACCTCTGATTTAATAGAATTCTTAATTCCACACCTCTATCTCCCTGCTGCTCCCTCCCCCGACAGAAAATTCTTCCCCTGTTCAGTAAATGGTAGCACAATCTACCCACTTATTTTAGCCCCAAGTCTGTCATCCCCCTCTTTTTCCCTCCCCCCACACCCATCACCCCCTCCCTATCAGCTCCAAATTAGCTGGAATCTGACCTGTTCTCATATTACTCTGGCCCAATGCACCATTGTCCCTGTTCTTTCTGCTTTTACCTTTTCCCTCCGACAATCCGTCCCCCCCAACACAGCTGCAGAATAATCTTTTTAAATGTCAACAGAATCAAGACTTGCTCTCGGTAAAACCCTCCAACGCCCCCAGCACACGCAGAGTAAAACGCAAACTGTTGATCACCTGAGTGAGAGCAAAAGGGGCGGACCGTCCCCGGCCCCGCCT